TCGTAATTTTTAGTTTTAAGTACCAACTGAAATAGTTCGTGTAATAAGTAGTAATTACAAAAACTAATTTATTTTTAGATACACGTTTTAGTCCATATCATAAGAAAAATTGAACCGATTTTGATGAAATCATTACTATTCCCTAAGTTGAAATAAATGTAAGCAATTAAAAAAAGAATGATGACGATCCCATAACTAGTTAACATACACCTATAACTTGTATGTATATATTTAACCGGTGGTAGGACTCTGTCAAGCCTGAGGAGTCCGACTGGATGGATACCACCCCCTTATCTATTTCTGCCGCCAAGCAACAATGATTGCATTGTTGTGTTCCGGTTTGAAGGATAACGTAGCCAGCGCAATTACAGGCAAGAGGCATATTATTATCTTAGTCCTCACAGTGATAACGTACCGACGGTTCTGCAGTTTTGTCACGTAAAACCTAAGTGCAGGAACCGTTGGTTTTATGGGCGACATGTACAGCTTTCCATCAGGTGGGCAGTCTGCTCGTTTATTACTGAATATCATAAAAAAATATATATTTGTTTGGAAGTCCTAACAGATTACCATATGTGAATATTTTTCAGTTCCAATAATATTACATACATGGACTATGGCCTGATCCCCCTCGTCTTGAAGGGAGGCCCGTGCCCAGCAGTGGGACGTTAAAAAAAGGGCTGAATACAATATTACATACATACGTGTCGAATTGATGACCTCCTTTTTTTGAAATCAGCTAAAAAAATTGACAATCAATATACATAAATTAGGTATATAAAACACCCAGTAGGCATCGCACTTAACTTATGACAGATCTTCGCTATAGCTTATTGTATTGTAATAAATGTATTGCACTCTGACCAACAGTGGCCATTGTTAAAATAATGTTTTCATATAAAGTTCAACGCCAATTCTTGCCACTTAAAGTACAAATGTATAGAGTTTTTGAAACTCACATTACCGAACCCCTACATTACACAAATTATTATCATCGGACGCGTGACCTTGTCCAATACTTTCTTTTTTCGAAAATTCATAATAATCGATCAGTAGATAATTATATTCAACCAGATAATTGTGCCACATAGCCGAAAAATTAAAAAAAAACTGGATCTCAAAAACAACGCCACCTTACTGGGCACAACTATAGTTTACAATCACCCAGGTGGCATCATAGGGTCTTATGAACCCATAGTACACAAGAAAACCATCAAAATCGAACAAGCCGTTTGGGAGGATCAGAATTACAAGAACACGAGTGTTACCTACGTAAGCGATTAGGAATAAATAGCAATCCGAATTTAAAATATTTATTTGTGTGATGGTTAACTTATTTTCTGACATATTATAGAAATGTTAAAAATATTTTAAAATAAAATATTTTTTAAAATATTTGAAAAAAAAAACCTAAAATACTATTCTGACTTATCATAACAGGTTAATAAAACCTATTGTAATAATTATATATTAGATACCTTGCGTAGAAGGTACTTAATATTAAGGATATTGAATTTGAACAACAACTACCAAAAGGATATCCGTGAGGAGTTATTTTTGTTTTCAATATTAGTGAGTTGTTTTTGAAGTTCATTTATATGTAAGCATTTTTATATATTTTTTATTTATTAAGAATTTTAAAATAAAATCAAAGGCAATAAAATTCGCGAATAGCATTATCTCTACTTGATCATTACAGGGTCTGAACTCATCAATTTTCTTCGGGGGAACACTCTTGGGTAGAAAATAGAAATAACATGATAATATGTACACTAACAAATTGGAAAATAGATAAAGTGATTTGTTTTATCGTTGGGTAATGCATTTTTACATACCATCTGCAAATATGCAGGTCACATCAACCAGAAAAGTCAGTACCATCCAATAAAGCCCAACGAAACCTCCCGCGACTTAATAGTGCGTGGCAGGATCGTTTACTCACTCAACCATAAGGCCCCGACAGGCTGGCCTGCCGAGGCAGACAACAACAACCATAGGGTTGCTCCCACAGTCTACTCTGTTATCAGAGAAGTACTAGGAGCAACCCGCGGTCCCGCATCGTACACCGCCCACTAGGTAACCTCACAGTGTGCCTTTTGCCTTGACACCCGGCTGGAGTCTGTTTTCTCCACTTTACGTTAATTTAGTTAATAATAATAAGACGACACATTTTCTGAATATTAATGGAATGGAAAAATCTATACTAATAATTTTGCTACTTTTTATAACACACTAAACTAGTTTTGTTTATATCAGAGCATGAAATTAAAAAAATAAAAAGGTAACCTTCGGTAACATTTGCCTCAACTCTAACGACTCGTTTTTTCCTATGTTTATGTAAATGATACGTTTCACTATTATTTTGTTCATAATTTAATTAGAAAAATATGTAAATCTATCTTTTTAATAATTCTCATTCTTTTGTTCCAAAATCATGATCACACACCTTATGAAGTCTATGAAGAACAATTACGTTCGAAAATAATTCACTATCCAATAGTATTTGCACTTTAGTTTATTCCATTTTACGTCTACTCAAATGCACACTTGATGACTTTTACAAATATGTATACTACTATTGTTATTGTGCCCTCATCTCCACTAGACTTGGTCAAGGTCACTAGGTCTGAACCTGGACGAACAGTATTTGTAAGTCCGCTTGCCCTAAGATTAATATCGTCGACTCAACCTGCAACTCCTTGCGATCATTCATACGTCGGTATAGTAATGTTTTCAGTCCCGTAAAATCCTTCGGATGGACGAACTGGCCACATAGTTGACGACACCAACATTTTTACTGAGTGACGTACTCAAGGATCTGCAGATGAAGGTACTTAAATTTGCAGGTAAAGCATACCAGGTTCGGATGCAGGATGGGCACACTCCAAAAATTCAGGAGGATTTAACATTTTGTAACAACACCTCATTAATGCAAAGCCCAATCCAGCGATGAAATAAGGACCAGACGGCTGGCCTGGTGACAGTGGTAACGATGCAGCCTACTCGTTTACTCTGATTTCCTCAAATTGTCGAGCTTTATGCGTCGCAAATGGTTTGCGGTAGGCATTTTATACATAAATTATTACTATTTTGATAGCGAATAAATATCTATAAACAATTTTTGAATAACATTTTTGACGATTAACAACTTTTCTTGAAATTATCTGTTTATATTTTTCAGATACACCGTCAATGTCCGCCTCGGTCAAAGTGTGCCACTGTTCAGAGATGGAAATGTCGGATGCGTCGTAATAAACATGTCTCTCCGGGTCAGGGTTCCTCTAAGATGAGAACCCATTAAATCCAAAAACACACACAATATTTTAAATAAATTATAAGTACTCCGAGTCCACATCATCCGAGCCGACTAAGCAAACCTAATGAGTCTTTGGGAAGTTTACAAGTGATTAAAGAGTTCTTTTTAATTCTTTTAATTCTCAATATACTTCTCCTCATACTTCTTTGACATGCTCTAATTTTGATTTTTGTTTGACGCGTAAATTTCCAAATTTGACTACCGTAAATTAATTATGATGAGGATAGAACTATCCATGACCTGCTTATTTTGATTGAGATGTGATATGACATCTCAGAAATTTTTAAGCACCAAAACATTTTCCAAGCATTTGTGATTTCTATACTTAGTTTAAATATTTTAATGGTTTACCATTAAAATATTAAAAAAGAAACAGTCGAAGATGAATTCAGGGAATTACACCAAATAGCTTTTCCTGATACCTCTCTAAACGAAAGAATGGGTGTGAACTCCGTTAGTACTTTTAAGGGCGACAAATTCTTCTCTTAGCTGTAGTTGAATGGATTCGCTGAGTTATTTCTTTCTATACATATAATGAAATTCTAACTAAGTCGAATCTGTACATTAAATATTTTTTGGAAAATCTTATTGCAATAGACATTATTATCGATAAAGAGGCCAATCAATAGTTTTTAGAACTTTTGTCTGTCTGTCTAACTGTCTGTCTGTCTGTTACCGCATCACGAAAAACCCACTGGAGAGATTTTGATGAAATTTGGTATGATGATAGCTGGTTATCCGGGTCAACATATAGGATACTTGTTACCGCGGGAAAATATCTCATTTCCGAGAAAAAATACAAAAAATATCAATGTAAAAATATATTTATATGTAAAACCTAAGAATTTGATTTTTGGTCATCTGGACGCGGGCGGAGCCACAAGCGATGTTAATGATTGATTTTTATTATATGTACTGAATTAGCTATATACCTAAGTCATTTTATACAAGCCTTCCTTATTTCTTAATACAATATATACTCGTATAAAATGACATTTTGAGCATCTTTTAAAGGCCTTTATATTTGTTAAATTTCTGATATTTATTACTTCCTTATTAAATCTATACAGAAATTACTATATTATTTGTAATTTAAAACAGTAAAAAGCATATGTGAAACTACTTGCGAATCAAAAATGATCGTTTGCTTTTTACAAAAAAGAAAAAGTAGAATATGTACGTTTATTGTGTTCACAGAATTGGTGCCTTGAAGTATTGTATTGCGTTAAGATTAGGCAACTTACATATTTGTATTTCAAGTGCATATTTTATAATGCAAATTTGTCTTCGCCAATAGAAGTATTTCATTGATAAATTATAATGTTTATTTCAATAATAAATTGCCTAGCGACAAGAATGACATTTAATGTAATATAATAATTCGATTATGCCGCAGATACACCTCTAAGCATTTAAATTACATCTAACGAAACCATTTTACGATGTCACAAAACTACTATTTGAATTTATGCGACATTGTCAAGGTCAAAGTTAATATTTAGACGAATTACAAGTTTCCAACCGATTTAGACGAGCTACGAGAGAAATTATTATTTCATGAATAATTCATAGCATTAACATACTAATAGCAAATAAAATACACGATATTATCAAAGAAACATTTTATTGAAACTCATTCACTTAATTCTAGGACAATAATTTAAAAAAATAGCGTTGAAAATCACCAAGTGAGACGCATCACGTGGTCAGTTTTTCTTTTAGACGATTTTATAAAACCAAGGAACTGTAGCTCCGACACGGCTCTCGTAAAACGAACCCTGCAAAAAATTAAAAAATTACTTTTTTAAATACTTTCTTAGATTTACGCGACATTTGAAATAAAACTATTTTACCAGATATTTTTGCGGTTAAATTTTTATTCTGTAAGTACAAAAAAAAAAAGGTAATCAAACCCCCACGAATGCATATCTTAGCAGAACAAATATTAGTGTAGCGACAATCAAATGTTCACAAATAATATTATATATATTCTGGGGAGATAAATATTCGAAACAACGCAGATAGCAACTGCGTCTCATTGCAAACTGTATTTTAAGACGATAATAAATTGCCCATGGAATGGTTATCCGAATCCTTTGTACTCTTTTGTACTCTGGATAACCACGTGAGCTAATCATCACATTAATTATCACATGTGATAAAGTCACAAAGAGACAATGGTTTTTTATAAACTAGCCCTTACACACTTCTCTGCTAACATAGTTTATTTACGTATACGAGTAATTGCTCCGCGCCTTAGGGTCGGAACGTGATGTTAGATAGCCTGTGGCCATCTTCCTCAATAACTGGACTAATACTTTCAGTAATAAGTGCGTTCAAAAAACATTCTTTATAATTAATACTAGTATAGATAAAGATTAATATTATTTCTCAAAATAAACATACTTAATATGAATTTAAAACAAAAACCTTACCCAAAAATTAGTTGTATGTGATGCTAATTTTACCAATACCTAGGTACATACATTCCAGTGATATCCTCAAATGTCTTTGCTGATTAACATGAGGAGTTTTTTATTATTTATAGCTTTGATTCACTTGTTAATAAATATACAAGTTATTTGTGTCAATACCTATAGCATAACAAGCGATGCGAGCAACACTTTACAATAAAAAAATACCTACATTTATAATAGCATAAACGGTAGTAAAAATAAGCATTTAAAGAAATATAAATTTTTTGTTCAGTCACATTTAATGATGTTTTTAAACAGCATCCTGGATGAGCAAATGTTTAAGATATTTTATCTCCGCATTATTAATATGCCTATATGTAGACAGCATATACATATTAAATATTATATTCGTGTTAAAAATATCTTGATAAAATCAAGGTCAGCATCAAGTTTTAAATTGACAATGTATAAACAACAGCCAAAGAGGATTTGATATTCGCTTTAAGATTTGGAATATAGATTTTGTTCTACTAACATTTTTTAGAATATCTATAAGATAGTTAAATTTTTAAGTTTGATATATTATTTTACATTTCAACTGAATATAAAACATTAAAAAAATTAATGGATTTGTTACATTAGATGATTCTGTTTTATTATAAAAATATTATAATCATAGCCTATTCTATATGTTTTAAGTCAAGTATTTCAAAAAAGAGGTCAGACTGCTATATTATTCTTTTAATATATAAAATATTTTAATGTGAAATTAATTGATACTTACTGAACACTAACATCTTCATATCGGTCTTCGTCTTCTTGGTCTGGACGTAATACAGCAGCGAAAGCTTGAAGCCAATCATACAGATTTATGTGCTTCCCGCACTCGCGGTGAAGTTTGTATGCAATGCATACATCAGGCAACGAGTCCGATATACTTTCCACTGACGGCAACAAACAGCATGTACACTGAAAATTAACTTATAATTACTTATCAATACATCATCATCTCCCTGCCCATTTCCCAATCACTTGGGGTCGGCGCAGTACATCTTCTGTACTGCTGATAGGATTTGGCAAAAGTTTTACGACCGGCCGCCTGCCTGACGTCAACCCTCCCAACTTACCAATACATGAAATAACAAAATTGTAACGCTTATCTTGGATATGAATAATTGCACTATATTTTTTAGTATAACACGTGTATCAAGGCTATTTTCTATGTACCTACCAAATAGAACAGAAATCTAATTTTTAGAAATTTGTATGTCAATTTTCGGAATAGTATTGTATTCATCCCTTTTTAACTGCTGGGCACGGGCCTCCCTTAAATACGAGGAGGATCAGGCCATAGTCCAATTTTTGGAATTAACGGATTAATCTTTTTAGCATATTAAAAGTAGTCGGCATTTAAACAAGTTTCATTTTAATCAGTACAATAAATCCAAATAGCTTAGACTTCACAGTTCACACTGCAAACGCTCGTGTATAAAGCATCTATAACATAAACACATAACAATAGAAAAGCACACAGCAGATAAATATAAAGAATCATCATATAATGTACGAGATCTTCATAAATCTCTATGAGATATGCAATGACCATAATAGCGCAATACGTCATATGCGGGTTAATCTGATTAAAAGCGGAGCGTTGTATATCAGTACATACGCATAATATTTCAATCAAAAGCGGTTATATGTTTAAAATTGATAATATGTTGTTTATTTACACTCCGTGTGAAAATGTAGAAATACACAACGATAATAATTATTACCTATATCACACTAGCGATCTGCACTAGTTTAATTCTCTTAAAATATGTCACTTTCCAGGGAAATGTAATTGAGCCTTCCGCAAGGTAATAAACACATTTTGTTAGCTGCGGGAACCTAACTCGATGCGGATAGCTCAAGACCGGAACATGGAAACCTTTGGGCGAGTCCTATGTCCAACATTAAACGACTTCCGGCTGAGATGTCGACGAAGGTCTAGTTAGCTTACACAGCTACCAGTTATATCAGCATTCCTTATACATATTAATTTTTAGTAGGCATGGAAGGTGAAATCAATAGACGATAAGGATTGGCGAAAAATATTTGAAGCACTCTCTCATGCTCACTCGAAAGTAGCATCTTGCTTATTATACACTATAACATTGCCCGCCGCTCCGCCCGCGTTCAAATGACCAAAAACCACATTCTTAGGTTTTACATATTAGTACACTCTTATATTGCAATTTTTGTATTTTTTCTCAGAAATGAGATATTTTCCCGCGGTAAAAAGTATCCTATATGTTGACCCGGATAACCAGCTATCACCACACCAAATTTCATCAAAATCCCTCCAGTGGTTTTTCCGTGATGCGGTAACAGACAGACAGACAAAAATTCTAAAAACTATAGATTCGGCCTCTGTATCGATAATAAATGAGTTAACAAAAATCAATGGCAATATTTATTACAGGCGTCCAATATTTCATTTTATACACCATTTTCTAAATATGAACTAAATATATACAAAGCTCATATAATAGAAATGTACTCTTGGTCCAAATAAATTTTGAATATCTTTTATTATATAAATCATTTATAAAGTATTTAAATTTATAAACATTAAAAGGAGATCTTTTATACATATTCATCCTCAAACTGGAGACCGGTGACCGGTGTCATGTCATTATTTAAAAGTAAACGAAATGAAACAAGTTTCGACATGTACAAGAATAAAATTCCTATGTATATTCCCAAGACTACTATTTTACATAAAGTACTTAAATCTTTTTTATTTAATTAACATAAATAAGATATTCTCTAGTTATTTTATAAAAATAATAATAGCTTGTTGAACAGACATGGAATCTAATAACTGAATAATCTAATATGTAGAGTTAAATAAGATGACAAATTAAACACTAAACGATACATGGAAAAATCAAGTCAATAGAATCTACAATCTATACAGATAAATAAAATTGAAGTGTCTGTTTGTTTTGTCCAAATAACAGCTTTGTACTAAATGCATATTATATACGGTACTTATAAGCAATACTGTTTGTTCCGGCTAATCTCCGAAACGGCTGGACTTATTTTGGCGGGACTTTCACTGGCAGACAGTTGCTGAGGTTATAAAGAGTAACTTCGGTTTATTTAGTAATTAGGCTTTATTTTTACTTTTATTTTAGAAAAAGAATTAGGGTCCCGCTCGAAAAAATCAAAACGTACCTAGGATGCACCACAAAATGTTATATTAATTTCAATATTCTTTTTCAGTAAGCATTTAGCTAGAAAGCTAATAAAATGATGAAAAACTGAAAAAGAGTTTTAAACAGTCTATATGTTCTGAACACATGAGAAACTAAATCTATTACGTCCCCTCTATCGATTTTTTATAACGAGAATCACATTTGAATGTTTATTTATAGCCCAAATATTTACTATTAATATATTTTAATTTAAAACCAATAAAGTGTATTTTAACGACTTTTATTAGCAAAAGAACAGAGTATACAACATATTATATATGTATAACTGAATGTCTTCTTCTTCTCCCTCCCCATTTCCCAATCACTTGGGGTCGGCGCAGTACATCTTCTGTACTGCTGATAGGATTTGGCAAAAGTTTTACGACCGGCCGCCTCACGCCTGCCTGACACCAACCCTCCTTGGGAATGCTATTGTCTCTCTTTATCTGAATGGTATCGTGGAAGTCTTGTAATATATATGAATTTTCGATTTTTTTGTCTTTTAAAACCTTTTTTATACTATTACTTAAATTTTAATGTTATTTTCGGATATATTTTAAAATAAATTTTGAATACACAATAAATTTTGTTTTGACGTTGTCAATTTTTTTCTAAAAAACTGAATATGTAATCTGTAAAATGAATAACATGGAATGTCTGATTTTAAGAATTATATTTTAAAAAGGGTCGAATATCTTCACTTAAATATTGCAATAAAAACTTATACAAGGAAGTATGATGTTACTACAAAATTCATCAGAATTTTAATATCTTTTATTTTATTAGATAAATATAAAATATATTTATGAAGAGGTAAGTATGTAGTACAATTAATAAGACGATAAAATATTCTATAACAACTCGTAGACCTTGAACTTTCAACATTAACAAATTATAAATTTATAGAGAAGATAGAAATATATAGTTAACTTCTAAGCAAAAAACTGTTATTCAGTTTTTAAAATACGTTTTTTATTATAAGAATTTGATTCATTACAGAAAAAAGAATAAATTCAAATGTATACATATAATTAAATTCTAACTGAGTCGAATCTGTACATTAAATATTTTTTGAAAAATCTTATTGATATAGTCATTATTCTCGATAGAGAAGTCGAACTTAGAATTTTCTGTTTATCTGTCTGGGAACACATCACGAGAAAATCACTGGACAGATTTTGATGAAATTTGGTATGATTATAGCTGGTTATCCGGGTCAACGTATAGGATACTTTCTACTACCGGAAAATATCTCATCTCTAAGAAAATTATACTAACCGTTAAAACGTATCTAGGGACGAACCTAAGCGGAGCGAGGGTGAAGCGCTAGTCAAAACTAAATATTTGTCAAGTTATCGATAATGACGTCAAGTGCATAGAGACAATAAATATAAAAAAGTATTTATTTCGCTTTACAACTCAAATATTAGACAATTTAATAAAAAATGATCTATAAACAACGTTGACCCCTTAAAATTCATATATTTACACATTTCAAATCAACATATCGACGCTCATTTATACATTATTATGTATGCGTGTAGTGAAGGCCACAGACAGGAACACTTACCATACCTATGATGATTCAAAGTTTAAAGTTATGTAATCATTTAATTTTTACAAACTGGTAATTTGGTTAATAAGGAAACAAGTAGCTTCTTTAAGACCTTACTCATAGGCCACACATACGGATATACTTATTATACCTTACAAATATAAATATATTCAAAAGTCAATTGAAAAAATATAATACATAAATACAACATTAGTCTGTCTGTTGTCAAGAAAAAAATGCCGAACTTCTCATTGTAGTAGTATAAATTGGCCACTTAGTTAAGATTAATTTTAATTAGCGGATAAAATTAAAAAACACGTATTGAGCTTCCTTTTATACGTGCTCCAAGTAGATCGGGGATCATATTTAACGGATATGACTAAATAGAAGCATTCTTAAAATGTATAGAAACTATTAATTTATGTATATTCTATAGGCCCTATAGACCTTAGACAGTTTAGGCATTTACAATGCTATATATACTCGTAAAATTGTTTTTCTCGCGAGGTCCGTGTTATCTACAGGAACATGATTTTAAGTCTTTTATTCGTAGCCTTTTTTAATTGCACTAGCTGTCTTGGGTTTTAAGGAAAAAGCATGATAAGTGTACCAATTTTAATGAGCAGTTTATGTGATGGCAGATCTAATGATTTCAGACAATTCAAGAAATCTTGTGGTTGAAATGCCGTTTCAGTCATCCGTGCCAGTTCAGGCGTACCTACTCTAATTTTGTATTGTCTCCTAAACTATATAAACAATGAATTGTAAGGGACAAATTTTATCGTGTAAAGATTAATTGAAAGTAAATTTATCTCAAAAAAAAATTAAAATAAGCTACGTGGTTTCGCGGACTTTTTGTATAACTTTTACTAGTCTACGATCTATGTATTAGCCAATAGTTGTTTTCACTTACATTTAAACCTAAGCCGTTTAGGCAGCGCACGCAAGGAACGCTATTATATTTTTTATCTCCTCGCTAAGAAAATAGTGACAACTCGACTTAAGCACACCATCTAAATATATCAGTTATGTATCAGTAAAGGAATTATTAAAATCAGTTCAGAAGTTTCAGAATTAATTGATTACAAAAAACAAATCTTTCCGGTTTATAATAGAAGTATAGATATGCATGAATACTAGTAATCTGTCCGATGGAATTTCCCATCGACTAAATAAATTAAAGGTTAAACCTTTAATTTAAAATTTAAACATTCATTTTCATATTTAAACTGTCAAAGTGACGAGCTTTATGCGCACAGGTTTAGAGCTCATATTCGTTTTATAAAGAAACGTTTGATTGAGCATTTCATTTTAATATTTCATTCTTGTATAAGCTTTAAGTTGTGCTTTGTATGTCACTGAGTCGGTCAATAAAAATTTACTATTATTACTTTATTCGAATAAAAAAAACCCTTATTTTCTGCGAAAATTTAAAAAACTCTTTATTTGAATACTAATATCGTGTTACAATTTATTTTTTATTGAAACTGCGAACCTCTGTAATAATTGTTGATAGCTTTTCAATTTGGTGTTCATTGTATTTAATTAATTTTTCTTTACTTTTAGTAAATTTAATTCAATTCTCTTGTAAATGGCTTAAACACGTGCCAGTTGATTACAGATTTTTAGTAGGTTAAAATAAATATTCTTTTTGCACATACGTTATTTTTTTCAAGTTTTACCAAACCAGTTACCAGGTGGCAAAAATGTATTTACCTGCCAAAAATGTATTTTTATATTTTTTACGTACAGATTAATTTTAAATACTTCTATATGATACATTAGGGCTCGGGTAATGTTAATTTAACTTAGTTTGTTTTTTTCCCCCATATACATAAATACTTATGCAACTTGTGGTTCTATGATCACGGTCGTTTTATCCAGCATTAGTTAATTATGTTGTAAAAGATCCAGATGGAAGTTTTTTTTTAATTATGTATGATTATTTATATTGCATGTAGATTTTAAATAATAAGGCATAGTATTTTACCCTATCCATTTACACAATTATTATATCCGTATACAGAAGTAAACGATCTTTCTTGGTTAATAATTTGTCAAATAGATTAATTCATACAATAATTTTAAATATTCAAATAAGTTGCTTAATTATATTTAATTAAGCATATCGTATGTGCAAAATACTAAAAATACCGGTCATGTAACAAATTGGAAAAAAATTGATATAGGATATTTACAGCTTAGTATCTATATAACTATCGGGAATAAAAAACAGGTCGGAATCATAAATAACAATCCGACCTGGTTTTTTTCACTCGAAAAAAAATAGTCCAGAAAAAATTGAAATGTTTTTCGAGTGTATTTATTCATTCGTAAACGGCTTAATGAACAATAACAATATAATAGATATCGTTATACAGATTATATGGGTAAATTAGACTTATTTGTGGTAGCGATTATTAGTTAATAAGGAATATAATAAGGACTGACAAAATAATGGAGAGACAATTATATAAAAACATGATTCTATAAAAGTTTTCTTTTTCATCAGACGCACTCTGTCTGAGATAACTTGAAAATAATTGAATAACCAAGAGGGACAGCAGTCCAAACATCTACACATAGTACAAAACGAAGTTTCTCCGCTTACTTCTTCTAACCCACACAACAGATTTTGATACGGTTTTCATTAATAGAAACAGCGATAAACGAGAAAGGTATATATATAGTTTTAAATGTTATGAACCAACGCTGGCTACAAATTAAGAGATATGTAAATCAAAATCATGTACTAGAAAATTGTCTGAAAAATCTCCTGAGGTACGCCCACAATAACTATTTTTATTTATATAAAACGTACCTAGGAACGTGCCCGAGCGAAGCAGAAGCGAAGGGTAAGTCGCTAGTCTTACAATATTATTAATGTACTGCCGCCTGATATATTACGCTGAGCAATTCTACTGTACAGTTAGAATGCATGAATTTTAGCTAGCCATAAAAAGACAAGACAAAGACAAAGACTAAGGGAGTTATTTTAGCAAATCCCAAAAATTTCCACATATACCAATACAAATTCCCAAAATATCAAAATATAAAAACGATATACTACAATAAGTACTTAATCTATATAAATAAAAATTAATTTTGCTAAGCGCAAAACTCGAGATCGGCCCGACCAATTCACCTAATTTTTTTTCGTTGTTAATGTTCCTTAAGGTACAAGGAAAGTTTTAATAAAGAGAAAAAATATAAAATAAGGTAAATATATATAAAACAAAGTGTTAGTTTCACCATTTATAACTCAAGAACGGCTGGACCAATTCTCATAATATTTGATTTTTTAGATTTCTTTTAGTCAGGAATAGGATAATAAGTATTAAAACAGCAGAAAAATTAACGAAAAAAAATTAAATGTGGCACTCGGAGACTGCCGCGGTAAAGCTATTGCATAGCATTTTTTATCAACTTATGCAAATATAATTATTTCTTTATTTTATTAATGCAGTATTTTTTTTCCTTGACTTTCTTCATTAATAAATGCACTTTGTTTATTCATATTTAAAACACTTTGTACACAAATTATACGAGTACAGATATTCACTGTTGTACATAGATGATAAATACCTATACACCTATATACTTTCTCACAAACAGCTGATTACGGTAGTTTTCCAATACAACCAATGCCACCTAAAGGCGGGTTGCTGAACTAAAGAGACAAGCGTGATATTTCAAAAAGTCATTAAAAGTTCTGGTATTTATCGATAGATGGAAAAACTAAAAAGTATCACCGCTGTGCCGGTCGGAGTGGGGGGTGTCAGGTTTTTTTCGTTACGGAATTTCTGAATTTGGTCCCCACGCTCAAGGCCCGCGATAGAAGCTATGCAATAGCTTAAAAATTAAAATCATTATGGCCAACGCTAGCTAATAACTATTTATACCTATTTAAAACGTACCTAGCTAGTCTATATAAATAAAAATGAATGTTGCTAAGTGCAAAACTCGATATCAGCTGGACTAATTAATCTACATTTTTTTTACAAATTTATTATATTATATATTCGCTGAAGTCTGGGGAATGTTCTTATGAAGAGTAAAATTAGAAAAAAATAACGGAAAAACGTAAAAATCACATTTTTCTTTTTCCTTACTACTACGAGTACATTATAATTATGAACGCAATCTTAAAATTAATATAAACTATTTGAATGTATTTGTATATTTGACACTTTCTCTTTCTACGATATACAATTTTACGTTGACTTCATTTGTTTGTTTGTATGTCCTTTTTTCACGTCGAAATAAATCGTGTTTTTTGTGTAAAGATAGTTAGAGGGCTGGAGAGTGACATAGGCTATTTTTACCGCGGAAGATTATTTCGTTCCTACGGGAAAACAAGTTATATCTATTCCACGATAACCGTTAAAACGTACCGAGCGAAGCGAGGGGGAGCTGCCAGTATTTAAAAATAAATGAAAACCCTTTCGAAATTGAAAAACGCAAACTCTACCAACGAACAAAAATATTTTGTCAAAAATCTTGCTAGTTTCTGCCCAACTTTTTATACATCAAAATAATTATTATCTTTCAACGTTCCAATTTTTATTTAATATTAGTTACCTGAGCGACTATTTTTTGCCAAAAAAAAACAAACTGAAAATTTGAATAAATACAAAAAAAACAAAAGTAAAGACTTTGTATCCGACCGGGATACGAACCCAGACACCTGTGGTCGTTATACTTGCGCCTTGGCCGCTTGACCACGATGCTTACGTTCTAGCGTGCGAATTAGCGACTATATTTTGCGTGGAATAATGCAAAAGAAAACTGCATTTTTCATTTTCCAGACAAAACTAATCTAGATCGATTTATCGCCCCCGAATTCCCTGTATATTGTATATAAGTTTGACAGTGGTATCCCAGTGGTAACGCGCTCGCTTGGGAAACCGAGTGAAGCGGGTTCAAACCCCGGGTCTCGCACCTCTGATATTTTAATGTGCGAAGCATTTCCAACATGATGACCACTTGTCTTACGGTGAAGCAAAACATCGTGAGGAATCCTGCATGTCTGAGAGAACCTAGCAAGTGTCGAAAGACATGTAAAGTCCGCAGCCGGCGAGTGTACTGGAGTGGCCTGATCGCCCTCGTATGGGCCCGCGTCTAACTATGGAACTTTAAAAAGGGTGTTTGAAACGAACGTTAAAATTTAAAAAAATAACTTACCTGTAGATAATATATAGGATTACTCAAAGCTGTATGCAAGGCACCTCGAGGAGATCCAACGATTTGTTTCTTTATATTAGACACGTCACTAAAGAACAATATCTCGTGGAAGGTCTGTGTGTGCGGCGGAAGAAGTCCTTTACCGAAAACTTCCTCTAAATAACTAACAAATCTCGATCTTATCATTTCGAATTCTGACTGAATCTTCTCTACTCTGGTCGCTTTCAGTAATTTCTGAAATTAAATTGTTTTTGTTTCACAAATATTGAGATGACTATAAAGACATTGGTGTAAATCTGTACTATCTATACTAATATTATAAAGAGGTAAAGTTTGTGAGATTGTGATTTTGCGACGTTGTAGGGTAGAGATTACCCATCTCTGGATCTACTGAACCGATTTAGATGAAATTTGGTTAGAAGATAGTTTGAGACCCTGGGAAGGACATAGGATACATTTTATCCTGGAAATCACCCTTTAAGGGGGTGAAAATGAGGATGAAAGTTTGTATTGGGAAGCAAGCCAGTCGCTAGTGTATTATAAAGCACTAAAGGCAGTGGTACTCCAGTCGTAACTCGTAACGCGCTCGCTTGGAAAACGAAAAGAGTGAGGCGGGTTCAAAGTCTCATTCGAAAGTCCTGGATTCGAGTAGCAAGTTAAGCCAATAATATTTATTGGATTTTTCTATATTCAAGAAAGAAAGTTGGTGGAGCTAAGTGCGTACCGAGTCAGATCAGGCAAAGCAGACACAAAAAGCAGTTCAAGAAAAAATGTCTACCGTTGATTTAAAATAGCTAACCTTCATATATTAGCTCATTAGAATATTGTTGCATTATAAAAATCCAAACGACAATGAAAATGTTTTATTTTTCAATAACATTCTAATGGCTAGAAGATTTCAGTGAGAGTCAGACAAGCAAAGCCGGTGTTGAAAGCTAGTCCTAAATTTTACTGTTACATAACTTGTTATGTGTGGATGTAAAACTACATATATAATAATAAATATTTACCTCTTTTAATTTATACCTATTACCAGGTATGTTATCCATATTACCATTTTCAGTCTCTACATGAGTGTATATGGACGATTCATTATTTGCATTCTCGATTTGTCTTAAGAATGTCATTAAATGGACTCTAACACTCTTGGCAAAATCTTGACCCAAATCGTTGTTGAGAGACATATTTGTATTATTTTTCAACGGTGTACTCCGTAAAGGTTTCACGGGAGATGCTATTTGGAACGTTGCTATTTCCTTTAAAGCTGCCTTTATACTCTCAACCAACTTGAATTGCGATTGAAACTGCAATAGTTGCATGGACTCCCGGAACTCGGGTGTATTCGTTATATTTTGTGAGGAACACTTAGCGTAGATTTCTCTCACCTGAAATAAATTGTTAATTATAAGACATGGGTATTAAATACAAGAAAAAGTAAAACGATTTTTTTAGCGAAATCGAAATAGTTGAAGGTTTTATTAAAAAATCATCTTAAATGTCTAGAAAATAAATGTATGCGGTTTTTATGCATCAATTTAATCACTATTACGAAAAGGCTCGACGGATTTGGATGAAATTTTGTATACACATAGACTTGAGAGTAGATCCATACTTTAATATTACAAATGTGAAAGTGTGTTTGTTTGTTTGTCCTTCTTTCACGTCGAAACGGAGTGACAGATTGGCGTCATTTTGTGAGGAGATAGTTCGAGGGCTGGAGAGCGACATAGGCTACTTTTAACCGCGGGAGATTATCTAATTCCCACGGGATAACACGTTATAATACAACCCAAAAAAAATGTATGATCAGAATTACTTAAAACTTGGTATTAATGCTCTTCAATAAAATTAAATAAACACGTGTTTTAGCAATTTTCGAAATTCATCATATAAACGGGTAAAATAGGGTATAAACGTTTGTATGAAACTTTTAACGCGAGCGAAGCCGCGTGTTCTGCTAGATGACTTATATATTTGAAATTATAAACTTACTGTTTTCCCAAATATGTTCTTTGGTAGATCCTTAACAAAAGCAGATAACAATCTTATGCACATATAAAAGCTATGCACGTAGTCGTGGAGTTTATTCATTTCCTTTGACAAAACGTCTCGAAAAAAGTTATCATCTTCGAAAAGACCAATTTTAGTTTCACAATCTTGAGCTTCTAAAAACGGTCTAAACGATAGAAGCTGTCTTATATTTTCCAAGTCATCTGATGTGAGATTCTTCACCGAGTCCTCGATTTTGTTACGAGAACAGCATAAGGACTTTGTATTATCACCATAGAAGTGATCTATCATACAATACTGAAAAACATAATTATTTTAAGCATCTTAATTACTATCTACCAAAATTATTACAAAATAATAAGATGTTATTATAAAAATCGGTCAAGTGCGGGTCATATTCGTACACCGAGGGTTCCATAATACTAGAAATTATATGTACATATATTATGTATTCACTAATAATCAAGACTATATCTAATACTGTTAAACGATCAATTCTTGTATATTTTTTTACTTATTTATATATACCGGCGATCTCGGGCACGGCTCTAACGATTTTGCTGAAATTTGGAATGCGGGGGTTTTCGGGGGCGAAAAAATCGATCGAGATTAGTCTTATGTCTGGGAAAACGAGCGTTTTCGAGATTTCATGCGGTTTTCTTTCGCATTATTCTACGCAAAACATAGAATATTTGGATAATTCTTTTTGCATTAGATAGTCCATTTATTGAGGAAAACTATAATAGGCTATATGTCATCATGCTACTACTCAAGGGAGCGAATCAGTAGTCGAATCAATCGAGCAGACTTCCATATATTACTGTATAACTATATATCCCATGTCATTTCACTTCCCAATTCATATGCTACTGGCAGGTGTCACCCGCACCATGCTATGATGAGAATAGTATATCCAGAATCTTTGGGAACTGAATAATACGTATTTATTTATAATTAGATCAAAATTAAATTACTAGAATAAGAAAGTTTTAAGTGTATTGAAAAATACAATGTTGCCATGTTTAAATATGATTTAATATTTTTACTTTTTTACAGTTTCGTACCCAAAGGTGCCAACAGAACCTTATTACTAAGCTTCCGCTGTCCGTCCGTCCGTCCGTACCTCATGAACCGCAATAGGTAGAGTTTAAATTTTCACAAAGTATGTATTTCTATTGCTGCTATAACAATAAATAATTTAAAAAAAACAAATATACAAGAAATATTTTTTAACGTTCGTAATCGATCATCGAAGTTAATATACTACATACATATAGTGAAACTCTGTAAAAGTCATATTAATTAAAAGTACATGTACGATGGTACAGACCTTTCGTGTGCGAATTCGACGAGCACTTGACCGATTTTGTTATAAAATATAAATTTTTAGTTTCATGGAATAATTTAGTTATTTAACATACCTTAATACTCTGAATAAGTCCTGTAACAGAGAAATCATAAAACAGAAACACATCTGTTAGCAATTCAAAAGCTTTACCAGACAAGTGGAATGAACTTGTTGGACTTAAAAATATGTTCTCTAAAACCTGCAAATTAAATTAAGCAAAATAAGAAAAAAGTAAACCAAAAAACAAAAAATATTTGACTCTCAAATAAATTAAAATTAACAAAACATTGTTTACCAAATACTTATGCATAAAAAAAATGCCACCCAAAAGCACTCATCAATGTAAATGAATTTATTTTTGTATAGTTTGGAAAGAGGAGTGAACAAGACACCCCCAAGTACTGGCTTTGCCGGTGAGTCCCCACCTCGTGCATGCATTTCCCAACGTTAAAAAAAAAGGTGTGAACAAGACACATGATACTAAATCATCAGTCATGCATACCATCAATAGTATTAAAATAAGTACAAAAGTATTAAAAAGGCAGGTAAAAAATTTATTTGTAAAAAAAAATTAAGAAATAACGTCACTAATTATTTGCAAAAATATATAATTACACCACTCATTTATAAACTTACTTGGTTCATGTAAACATGTGATGGATGTGAATGAAAGACTTTGATCAATAATTTTGAAGAGACATGGTACGGGAACGACTTGTGAAGTGCAGACACCGATGTTGCAACTCCAAATATTAATACTATTGGTAGAGATTTTGCGTACGAACTGTAAGCATACATTCAAATCATTAAAGTCTTGATATATTAAATTTTCTCATATCATATCCCATAATGAGATAAGCTTCCTATACAATATAAAAAATTCAATATACTCATATAGGACCATCATATCACAATGAACTATTTCAAAAGTTAACAGAAATAAGACTTAACATTTAAATTAAAGCTTTTTTAAATATATTTTTTTTTGTAAAGACACATATTTCATTTTATAGATCCATAATTGGTGTATTGCCTTTCATTTTAATGGATGTGCTGTTAAATGCAAAGATTATCAAAAAATATAGATTTTCATGGTGAAAGTTAAATCGCTGTTAAAGTGTATTTAGTGAATGACAGATACTCTTCAACTCTAAACTTATCTCCCAACTCTCATATAAAAGAATGTACTGTGTAGGGTTGCACTTCACGCGCATCTCTCCCCGCACGAACGCATGTCTAGTTGTCTTCGTTAGAAGATCATACAATGTGTAACATGACTGATAAAACAAAAGGAGACCTCAATACCTATCGATCTAACCCCATGTATATTTAGCGATTTTTAGTGGAGTGAAATTTATTCGAATTTTAAATGATAAACACCGAAAATCAGATTTTAGACTATATTTGCAAATATGTACAGCTGAAAAAAAACTATACATTATATTATTACAACAAAAAGAAAGCCATCCCTCGAGAACTGTACATTTTTCTGGGATAAAAAGTAGCGATGTGTTATTCCAGGCTATAATCTATGTCTCTGCCAAATTTCATCCAGATCTGTTCAGCCGTTTTGGTGTGAAAGAGTAACAAACATCCATACTCACAAACTTTCACATTTATAATATTAATACGGATTTATAAATTTTTTTTTCTAAACTAGTACCAAAGTTGTGCATGATGATTTAATTTTATTTTAACTTTAGAAGATTCTGACTGAAGCCATTGACCAAAGACAAATAATTATAAGAAGGCTCCAACATTGGAGTAGTTTAGAAAAAGAAACCACAATCAATCACCTGCTACCTAGTTAATGTTTTAGATGTACTTTGATTGAGTACATCATGAGACGCTCATCAGGAAACTGCATCACTATGGTATTAGAAATAAGGCACTCGACCTTCTGAATTCGTATTTAAAAAATAGAATATAGTGCGTTGATGTAAGTGGTAAGAGATCTCCAGGAGCTCCATTAAATATGGGGGTTCCACAAGGGTCTATCCTTGGCCCCTTTCTTTTTCTAATTTATATTAATGATTTGCCATTTTTTGTACAGGACAAACATGAGATAGTATTGTACGCTGATGACACTTCACTTATTTTTAAAGCGCAATTCGCTAATGTACGACGATGTAAACGATGCTCTCTCAAAGGTTGTCTATTGGTTTGATGCAAATAATTTATTATTAAATAATAAAAAGACAAAATTAATAAAATTCTCAACACCTAATGTCAAACTTGTTGATAATGGTGTAACATTAAACAGCCAAACCTGGGTGTATACAAGCAAAGTCAAAAACAAAATAACAACATGCCAGAGATCAATGGAGAGGAGTATTCTAAGACTAAAAAGGATAGATAAAATCAGAAGCACTGAAATAAGAAGCAAGACTAAAGTCATAGATGCTCTAAACTTTGCTATGTAATCTAAATGGAAATGAACTGGACATATTGCCAGATATAAAGATAAGAAATGGACACTGAGAACAACAACATGGAAGGGGCCAATAGGAAAACGTAGAGTGGGAAAACCAAAGAAAAGATGGTCAGACGATATAAAAGAAATAGCTAGACCAGAATGGATAAATATTGCCAAGGACAGAGAAAAATGGAAGAGCTTGAAGGAGGCCTATACCCAAAAGGGATCTGTTAGTATGTAAGATGTACAAATGTTGAAATGAAAAACCTGTATAACAGAAAAATAAAGGCTTTATCATTATTATTATATTAAATGGCGAAGTGTTAAAACCTATGGAGTCCACTAAATTCCTAGGTATTATCATAGATTCGAAATTGCAGTGGGGCCCTCATATTGAGGGGCTAGCGAGTAGACTCAGCTCTGCAGCGTTCGCGGTAAAAACAATAAGATTTCTTACTGATGAAGATACAGCTCGAATAGTATATTTTAGTTATTTTAATAGTCCTAATGTCCTATGGTATTTTACTATGGGGAAATGCAGCTGCTATTAATACGATTTTTGTCCTGCAGAAAAGAGCTATTCATGCAGTTTATAGTCTAAGTCCTAGAGTGTCATTAAGAGATAAGTTTAAAGAAATAAAAATATTGACTGTTGCTTCTCAGTACATATACACAAATTTCCCAAGAAGTGTGACATGCATAACATTAATACTAGGAGCAAACACAAACTTGTAATGCCTGTGACTCGTCTACACAGAGTTAGAATTCTTTTTATGGACAATGTATATTATGCTGGTACAACAGGATCCCAGAAAATGTTCAAAAGGCTTCTACCACCAAATTCAAAAAAATTGTTAAACAATGTTTGTGTGCTAAAGGCTATTATTATACAATAAATGATTTTATAGAAGATGGCACACCTTGGGAATGAAATGAGTGCCTCCAGGCTACTTCAACTTGATAGAAATATTGTAAATTATAATTTTACTTTAAAAAAAGATAACAAGTCAATATTAGTCCCGCTGAGTTTCTTTCGCCAGTTCTTCTCAGATCTGAGGCTTCTTCTTTCTGAACTGGTAGTAGACTCATGACGTTCAGTAAAAACTTGTAATAATTTAATGCTGAATAAATGTTTTGATTTGATTTGAAGTTTATCTAATATCTGGATTTTGCCTTATATTTTTTTAAAGTGAAATAAAATTGTAAATATTTGCTTTTTACCTTATAATCATGACAAAGTCTTGCAATATGTTACAATTAAAGCTCTCGAAATCTGGTATTATTATAACTAAAGTGTTCTTGGGAACAGCATGTTTTGTTTTCTTTGGTGATCTATTCATATATTTTGCTTGATACCAATTGTAAAGGGTCTTCATAGTACATTGATTTTTCTTCAATTTTTTTTGTTCTATATTATCATCTATACTTTCATTGGCCGAGTTATCCTGAAAAGAAAATTGTACTGTATATTAGAAATTTAATATTATATTTACCTAAGTTTCTATAAAAAATCCTAAATATTCTAAATATTTAAGGACTTTATTTATTTGGAATTTATCATATGTTTAGTCAAATATTTACAGTTCATAAAGTTCCTCATTGGAAAAAATTCTTTAAGGTACCATACATATTTGGTTGATAGCAACTATACGCCTTTACTATACCTACACTTTACAGTAGTAGATGTACCTATACTTTTTTATCTGTATTCAATCAAATATGATGTTATTTTACTAGCTACTTCTTTTATTTCAACCACCTGGTGGAGCCCCATACCCCTATGCCCTCCCCTAGGGTAGCTCCCTTGCAAATATTTCAACAATATGCCTCACCAATAGATCTTGTCCATGTATTAACTGCCAAACAGAACTTTCAACCACATGTTTTATTGTTTGAGCATCTTGAGAATTGACCATTGCCACATGAGGTGTAATTTCTTCTCTGAAATTGTTTACCCATAGGTAAAATTACTAATTTTTATATTTTTTTATAATTTCTTTTTTTATAATTTTTTATAGTTTTTAATTAAATCTTCGAAGTCCTATTTCCCACAAATTCTAAAACATCAAAATTATTTCTTTACTATTGATGTTACCTATCTTCACAAATATTTCATGAATTGTGATAAGCAATAGCTACATGTGATAATTATTTATAGTAAGTTTTTATTTTAAAAATCCATATGATATAGGGAATTACTTAATGGATAATGGTTAGACTTATATTAGTTAGTGCTTTACGATATACTTAATGAAGTGACAAAACTATATTACAAATATATTACAAAACATACCTTATTTTATTAATAAGAGCTAAAAATTGGTTTATATGATCAGGCTGATTAACACCAGTTAACAGAGTTGCACTGGGAATTATACCTTCTAAACTATCAAACTCCTCTCCTTCATTAAATGTTTTTACATAGTGCACAATGTCATTTATTAAGGCACTATATGTTTGTTCATGGAGGTCCTTTAAAACAGAAAATAACATTTAAAATAACAAGACCTATTATTATAAACCATTAGACCAGTATAAACCATTCTGATAAAAGCATTATTTATATGCTAACCTGTAACTGTGTTTCAATTACGGTCCAATTGTGCTTAAATGTTTTGTACCAACGGTCATTGTACATAGTTTCGAGAAGTGTAGGTTTCGTTTTCTTCTTAAAACTTTTCGCCTTTTTAAATCCATTTGTAAATAAAAATACACCCTACAATAAAATACAGAAATAATATAAATGATTAATACGTATTATATAGATACCAAAACATAAAGACAATACGATTTTACCTTAGAAACTGAATCAGTACTTTCCATGACCAAACTTAAAGCGTTGTGATAAAAGATACCTTAATATGGTTTTATTTTAAATAAAAGCGCCTCGTTAACTTAAACAAATTAAAATGCTTGAATTTTACTGAAATAATATCACAGTTTATTCCATACTTTTAAAAATAAAATAACTCATTTACAACGATGAAATAATTAAGAAGTGCTTCTTTTAAATTTTTTGAATATTGAAAAATGAAATGTCAGATGTCTAACCTACATTGACAGTTGACATTTTTAATTTTTATTATTCATCTAGTGTCTATGATTAAGAGGTGTATCCTGTGGTGGTCCTGATTGACTGATCGATCAACACGAACACACAGCCTAAAGTACTGGTCGTATAGTGACATAGTCTATTCCTCCTTACGTGTCATAAATGGTAAACACTACCTTGAACGAAAATCACTTGTTTTCGAACAATGACATATTTTAGATTTCGTTTTATCGTTTATAACTATTTCAGAAGCAGAAAGGCTATGAATTACAATAATAAAAGCTGTAAATAATGATTGAAACACATAATTTTTGCTATATATAGAAATATTGACTGAACCAACTTTCACAGATAAAATATGAACATAACATTTTGACGTTGCAGATGGGACATTTAGAATGAATGATCGAGAATGGAAACTGAAATAAAAAAAAACAATATCTTTAACCGACTTCAAAAAGGAGATTCTTACTTTAGTTTCTATTTGGTCCCATAAAAATTTAACATAGTTTGGCCCAGTAGTTATCATTTTATGAAAAAAAATGAACGTTTTTGTTTACGTGGACGATGTAATTTTATTTTAGTTTGTGTACGGCTTTTTTAGGAGTTTTCATTTAGGTTGATTATATATTAATATTAACCCGTGTCCAGATAAGTGGATGGCTATACTACTATATATGGCTAGATGGCAAGACGCAATATCTTATTAACACAAGTAATAGGAAAAATCTAAAAGCCGCATTGCAGTTACAGCACAAAATAAAACTTGTGATAATAAACTTATTTTAAAGTTTTATGATTCGGAACCCTCGGTGTGCGAGTAAGATGAGCGTTTGTACGATTTTTTTAAGTTTTGTAATTTGTCTTCAGAATTGCCTTGCTCTGAACCTATTATTACAGAAAAATATATAATAGTCAAGTAAAATGGTTGTGACATACAGACAAAAAGACATGTTGAAGTAGGTACTAAGAATTCTTCCCCCCAACGTGCATTCACCTTGTCGTGGTGGGGGAGCTCAGTAGTGCCCGGCAATACAGCCGGGCGCGAAACCAAGAAACGCACAGGGAGGTGGCCCGCTTCGGTGGGCGGTGGGAGGTGGCCCTCTTCGGAGGGCGGTGCACCATGCGGGTTGCTCCTGGTATTTCTCTGATAGCAGAGTGGACCTTGAAGCAACCCCGTGGTTGTTGTGGTCTGCTTCGGCAGACTTGCCGTTGGGGCGTTGTAGTTGAATGCGTAAGCGATCCTGCGACGCCCCATTAAGACGGGGGATGGTTTTGTTGGGTTTTTCTGGGTAGTACTTTCTTCGCCGGTGAGTCCCACACTTCGTGCGTAAATGCATTTCCCAACGTTAAAAAAAAAGGCACTAAGTATTCTATTTTTGCCTTTTACGTACACAACCTTAAAAACATTTTAAGTGAAATATTTCAATACATAGTTAGATACTTATATTTTACTTTTCATATATTATTCAAATAAAATATTAAAGATATAAATAAATAAAATAGCTGACTTAAACTTTAACGTAAACTGATTTAATGAAATAAAAAGTAGTAGTGTGTAACAAAAACATGATTTATTCCTTGTTTTATGTATATAATCGTACATTTAATTTCATTAAACTATAGCTTATATCTTACGCTTACTTTTATTATAACAATACTTTATTTACAAAAGATGTCTTAATTTATTATAACGAGTTAGCCAGATTTCTGGAATTTAGCGCATGAATAAAAATTAATAGGCAAAATATATAGTATAAAATAAATAAATCACTCAAGAGGTAAACAAAAGTGATGTATCTAGGTACCTACCATCCATTTTTCTCTTTACATCAATTTCTTGGATCATATATGTTAACAATAAAACTTTAAAAGTATTTCCAATGAGTCACTCCAAAAGCGTCGAGATTTTAAAATATTTAATAATTTAAAAATAATTTAATTTCGAACAAAGAAATATTTGTAGATCCATCATTTATACAAATTCAATTTTTTCTTCTGAAAATCAAACGAATGATTGTCTAACAAAAGAAGATACAGCAAAAATAACGATTCGGTATTTCTAAACAACCTTTTCAAAGTATTAAAAAATATCTTTCATTCATATTTTTGTTAGGTACTTTATAATAATTATTATTATTAGTGTAACGAGATATTGACTATTACAATCTAGCACTTATTTAGCATCCATATACATATAATTTATTTTTTATTCATAATTTAAATCTATTTTTTATTATATTCGTCACTGCGTAGGAGACCGTGGTGGAAGCGCAGATTCTTCGGAAGGTGACTGACGTTCTCCTTCAGTACTGAATTTGTACTCTCTTTCTGCTGATTGATGATCAGATCCCGTGGGCGTTGTTCGGCCATCTTGGTTAGTCGTAGCTGCTTCAAGAGGGGGGCCCGTTGGACCAAAGGACATGCCCTCGCTATATGACACGTCGCCTGTTCCCACGTACTCGGATGGTTGGTAGCTGTAACTGTTAAAACTGAAAAATATATCATATTCATAAGAATAATCAATATGCACACATCGTTATTTCATTCTAACGAGTGTTTGTACTTAAAATATATTAAACTAACCATTTGATTTATTTCCACTAGTGATCGCCCCGCGGTCGAAAATCAACCATAATTCATAAAGTTTGAATGTTATTTACATTATTTTATAAATGTTCTATAGGTTACTCATAACATTTCTAAATAAATTGGCTATAAAATGCGAAAACATTTCTTCAAATCGGGTCCATTCCAGAGATTTGCACGTACATCCTAACAAGCAACCTTTTCAACTTTAAATATTAGTATTAATTTGATTAAGTTATAGCCTATCTAACATCACGCTTCAAAAGGGCAGTGATTATGTATACATAAAAAATTAGGTACTAATAATAGGCAGTGGTAGCCCAGTGACAATGCGCTCGCTTGGGAAACTGAGTGAAACAGATTCAAATCTCGGGTCTCGCACTTCTGATATTTTTATGTGCGAATCATTTTCAACATGATTACTATTTGTCTTACTGTGAAGGAAAACATCGTGAGGAAACTGCATGTCTAAGAGTCTGAGAGAACTTTACAAGTTTTCGAAAGTCATGTGCAGTCCACCAACTCGCACTTGGTTTCCCCTTTTGATCCCCCTTATATTAAGAGAGGCCCATGCCCAGCAGTGGGACGTTAAAAAGGGCTGAATACATACACAATACAAAAAAAACTACGTGAACGAAGCTGCATTATAAACCAATATATATTAAAGCTTTTTACAGTCTTCTCTATAATTTTATTTAAGCCAAAGCTCACACACAACGCGCAATATTCTTAAAAGGATACTTTTTCTCTTCACGTATTAAAAATGTATAGATTAAAGATTTCTCCGGGCTAGTTTTACAAAAATATTTTTATTGAACATAATTCATTGATTAAAAAAAATCACATTCATTGTCAGATGGTCGAACTTTATTAGCTTTTTCTCTAGGAATAGCTATGGGGTCTCAATAAGAAGAACAAAGAAAATTTAAATCAAATAAATGTTAACAGATAACATTATATGTATCTTTCGCTATTTATATAAATTATAATGATATATAAAATCAATAAAAGAAAAAAAATCCATGGTACGTGTATGGTAATTTTATAAAAGATTACGTAAAGGAAAAATCTTACTTCCTAATTCAGATATAATGAAATAAAGGTCGTTTAATTTCTGTATAGACTATATGGAGCATCTGAACTAGAATATAATTGTATCATTTATAGTATAGTATACAATCTCATAATTACCTATTAGGCCAGTAAGAAATGTCCTCGATCGTGTGATGAGCGTACGGCGCATAAGCATGTTGATAGTACGGGGAATGATGTTGCGTAGGAGCTTCATATTGTATAGGATACAGCGACGCAGGTGCAGTCGCGGGCGCTGAGGTACTCGTAGGGGGTGGCGGAGCGTACTCGATGGGAGCGGGGTACGCGTGTGGCGGAGTGCGGTACGGAGCGGGCGATGCGTTGGGTTGCGGTGAGCTGCTACCTTGGGCTGAACTCCAGTAGCCGCCCGTGCTCGCCCAAGTGTAACTACCGCCGCCGTTTACTGACGCTGCTGTAGATCTCTCTGGGTTATTATAAGTAGCTGAAATTAACATTTTTGTTATTATAATACTTTCTTAAACTTGGGTTAGAATTGAAACAACGAAAATATTACATTGATCTATAAAACTAGTACAGTCATTTTGGGTAACATTGAACAACTTATGGCTCAGACGATTTGCTATGGCTTGACAATAATTTGTACAAAAAGGCTATACAGTGATTTGTGTTTTAAGTGATCTTTTTCGGGCATAAATGCCAATTAAATTTAGAAGTAGGTATATAAATTACGAGTGAATCCTGAACTATAGACAGAAATAGGTGTGGTCCAAAGTTAGATTAAATTTTTATTATAGGTAATACTTTTTATGAAATTAAGTAACTTTGATCAAACAAGATAAAGATTTCAGAATATCTATAAAAAGCAAGGTATAATATATGTTCTTTGACCAGGGTTCTAATGGATCTCTTTGTTTGTCCCACCCGGGTCAAAGAACACATAGCTGATGTGAAGCACCGTCGCAATACAACATCTGCTGTCTGCAAACACAGTCAGGACCGCCCAAGCCATTATATTCGCTTCGATAGGCCTCAAATCCTGGCGAAAGAAAACCGATATCGCCCTAGAATGATTCGAGAAGCCATAGAAATTAAAAAACATCCTAATTTCAATAGGGAAGATGGCTGGGTACTACCATCGTCATGGGATCCTGTTATTAATATAATAAAATCTAATAATAAATCTAAACATAACAGACAGGTAGATGTAGTAAGTTCTTACTGTGTAGATCAAAATGATAGCATTTCTGATTAATAATATTTTTTCACTTTTTCATTTGTAAATGTATGTAGTAATGTGTTGCTTAATAATTTGTTTTTAAATAATAGCAAATTTAAATTAAAATTATTATTTTTTAATTAATCTTAACTTTTTCAAATTACACATAGATCAATTGTGGCTTAAATAATTAATACTATATTTTATATTTTTCTTATGGTTATAAATATAATAATGGCAACACTAAATATAGATTGCTAATTAATATTTTTAAAATTGTAATAATTATAAAAAAAATAATAGCAAAAATTAAATAAATAATTTTCCATATTCAATTATAATTAAAATTATAAAAATATTTAAAGTTAAAATATTGTAATGTAATTGGTGCAATTTTCATTTTGTTAATTGTGGGTAGGCTGTCTGTAACAACTATATCTTTAAGACATGTAACACCTCAGTCTCTCCCGTGACCATGGATGCTGTAAAGCATTCGAAACGTCGGGAAACAAAAATACAAATAAATCCGCGACAAAATCCGAAAAGATAGTTTTATTCTCATCTTTTTAGTTCGTTTTTTAAGAAGTCAGGATTTTTATTTTGTAAATTATTTTATTAAGTGACTTTGCGGTAAAATCAGATGCATCATTATTTCTCACCTTAGAACCCATTTTAAACGTAACGTTAGAATTAACAAATATGTATATGAACACAACATATCCACACAAAGCTGCAAGGCGCGAAAAAATCAGCTGTTTCGTTTGGCAAATGAAACTGTTAGCGTGTCAATTTTATTTTATAAGCTTTTTTTAACTTGCAATGTTTGTTGATTGTTAGATGGTATGTTTGTAATGCAAGCTGAATTAGAACCACTTCCCCTTTTTAAAAACTCTAATAGGATCCCATCAAAAGCGACAAAAGCCACATAGAAACCAATAAATGTTTATTGGTTTCTATGTGGCTTTTGTCGCTTTTGATGGGATTCTATTGGAGTTTTTCAACAGGGTCCTCATATCTTATAAAGTTGAAATTTTACATGTTGGTTCAGTTCCGACAACTATGACTCTTTTTGATAATTATGATCTAATTCTTCATCTAGGATTAGCTCCAGTTAAAGCAACTAGGATTTACTACTGTATTACTGTATTTTTCAGATTCAAAATTTTATATTCCTTCTATTATTACAGCCCGTCCTAAAGTCCACCATGACTTGGTTGTAACGTCCAACCTGCCTTTAAATAAGAGATCTCCTTAGCAGTCAACAACTTAGTTATGTGTATACGTATTCAATTGTAATAACCCGTTAAGCCCTGCCCTGGCCGCTACACCTAGGTTATGAGAAATCTTGTCAGCAGTCAACGGCACAGACACGATTTTGTATACGCACTCAATCTATACTAATATTATAAAGAGATAAAGTTTGTAAGTTTGTGATGTTGTAGGGGGTAATCTCTGGATCTACTGAACCGATTTAGATGAAATTTGGTGAAAAGTTAGTTTGAGACCTTGGAAAGGACATAGGGTACTTTTTGCCCTAGAAATCATCCGTTAAGGAGATGAAACTGGGGATGATAAGAATCAAGCTAGGGACGAACCCGAGCGAAGCGAGAGTGTCGCTAGTTATTTATGCTTTATTATTTATTTGTCGCTAGTTATTTAGCTTGCTTCCCCATAGAAACTTTCATCCCCATTTTCACCCCCTTAAGGGATAATTTCCGGGATAAAAAGTATCCTATGTCTTTCCCAGGGTCTCAAACTATGTTCTTACCAAATTTCAACTAAATCGGTTAAGTAGATCTAGAGATTACCCAATACAACGTCACAAACTCATAAACATTACCTCTTTCTAATATTAGTATAGATTGACGTACCTATTATATTTATATGAAAAAAACCATCATAGAGAAATATCACTCAATGATAGGTTACGACGCGGTCGCGGTTCCATACCTACGTGTATGTTGTATTATCTCTTTAACCATTTGTCCAAATTATATGCAGTAAAAGGGAAAAGACTTTTTGTTTTAAACATTTTAGACGATAAATTTACTTATTTTGATAAGAATTCATAATTGTTGATAAAATGACCAATAAACATGACATACCGATTTAAATAATTTTTAATATAAAAACTACTTTTTGTGACATATGCTGTCGCTGACTTTTTTGAAGGCATTATTAGGCTCTACAACTTTTCTCTAGAACATAATCATATATCTCTCATCGTTAAGGCAGCGTTCGTAAGAAACGTTTTCGTTCGACCGTTTTATCTCCGACTTATTTTGCAAATCCGACTACCATGAAAAAGTGTTTTCATTATTCGGGTAATATATAGCCTATGACACTCAGAAAGAACGTGGCTATTGGTAAGAGAATTTTGAAAATCAGTTCAGTAGATCTAGAGATTACCCCCTACAAAGTAACAAACTCACAAACCCACAAACTCACAAACTCGCAATATCACAAAATTTACCTCTTTATAATATTAGTACAGATTCAGTTTACTTAAAAAGTCCACCCACACCATGATTTGTAAGCTAAAATATTAGGTACATAAATGAATTAATACTAAAAGAAAAAAAACATTTTTCAAAACAAGCTTTTATTTTAAAGCTCTAGAAAGAAGCAAATAAATAATAAGAGAATGTAAAATCCTTGTTTTAAAAAAAATCTTTTTACTACTATTTTACTATTTGTTCTTTATTTGGATAGCTTTTTAACCTTTGGATACAGGCATTTACCACTTTCATGTCCGATTACCGATTTAAAAAAACCATTTGTTAGGTTATGGTCTAAAGCTTACCCAGAATGACTGTGACTAATTTTAATTCAGTTACCTATATTAAAAATTATAGAATATGACAAGTTAACAAACTTACAAGGTGGTGACAAAGTTCGGGGTCGTGAAGGTGGTCTAGGTGGGTAGGGCGCTGGTCTCCTTGAAGAAGAATTGCTACTACCATAAAGTGACTGGGATGTTACAAACCATCCACCGACTGAAAAATAAATAAAGTAAGTATATAACTTAGCAACAGGTAACTATTGAATAAGCAAATTAAATGATAAGAAGTGGAATAACATCAGTTCATTAAAAATAGGATTATGGAAATCAATGTACAAATGCCGAAGAATACCATTTATTTACAAGAAAAAAAATAAAAATATATGGAAATCACAAATATACTTAATTAAATATACGAATATAATATACGAATTAAATGTACACTTAATTATGTACAAATAATGTCCACGTATAATTGTGGCAAGAATGGTAGCTGCAATAATAATAATAATAGACACCTATGCTAGTATCTGTAGATCGCTGTATGTATAATCTGTCTAATATCTAAATTTAGCATTTTACTCCTAATTTCTAATAAATGTTCGAGGCATGTACACAGAATATACATATATTACTGTGTGTCTGTGCTGTGTGATGTACTGTACATCACAGAGCATAGACTACACAGTAGTCTCTTTTACAACGAATAGGTACTCACACTGGGGATATTGATGAGGGGAAGAACTTTGTTGCGGGTAATGGGATCCAACAAAATCCCTTTGATAGTAGCCTTCAGGCCTTTCTTTTGCATCCAGAAAAGCCTTAGCAAATGGATTATATTTGATTTTTAGTGACGTCACTTCTTCATTTTGGTAAGCAGTTACTGCTATAAACTGCGTTTCAGGAAACGGATAAGTCATGATACGTCGAAGATCGGTACCAACTTTCACTAGGTGTACTCGAGGCTCATATTTATGTAAAGAGTTCAGCATTATCTAGAAAATAAAAAGGAAGTTGTTTAATTTTTTAACTTATTCAACTTTTAAACAAAAGTAAAAATTTGTAATTAGTTTTTCAACCGACTTGATGAAATAGTTACAATATAAAAAATATAAATTTATAATCGACAAGCCCCAAGGCCGTTAATTAAAATTACACTAATGTGTCATTACTGTGCCATACTGATAAACCAAAATTTGAATAAAAGAAGATCAGTAAATATTACGGCGAGACAATAATTATTACAAATGATAGTGTGATAGTGCGTATGGGCGCCTGCTAAATAGTTGGTAAAGCTACAGATTTCACACCGATCCGTCAACATATGGATCTGGATGTATCAGATGTTTGCTTTCATATTCATTCGCACCACATATGAGCGTGAGAAATACCTTCTATGAAGTAGCGGTAGCCACAAAACTGTAGCACTGTAACACTTCGTATAACAGGCTTTCTATTATCAAAAATTAGTATTCTGTCAGTTCTGGGTACTGTTAATTATGCTCTGTTTTAACTGATGAGATGAATACAAAGAGAAAAGAGTGAGCAAATAAAGAAGCACTGGTAACTAAACAAACTAATACAGAATAGCTATGGATAGACGAATACATTTGTACAGGGATTAGTATTCGAAGCCAAATAAGAAGTTGGTTAGTTGTTGACATTATTACATGTTTAGTAATCTTTAAGCAAATGATATCTAAGATTTATACATTATTCACAATTGGAATGAAAACATAAACTGTCGATAACACGATCAATATGTTTACCGTGTCCGAATAAAAAATATTACAATTTTTTAAGAATAAATTGTTAAATTTATATTTTGAATTATGTACTAGAACCTCTTCTAAGAATATGTAAAGAGGAAATGGTATAATTGTAAAATAACACTAGCACTACCTGTCCGTTTCCATTTGTCTTGTTTGTTAATTTAACTTTAGCGAAAGATATAGGTTCTTTCATCCAATGTGCACCAAAATTTGGACTCTCTGGGTGTATATAGATAGCATTAGAGGGCGGCACTTCAGCTTTTCCACCGGGAACCTTCGTAATAAAAAAAAAGATTAATATGTAACAAAAAGTGTATACTAATAAAAAAGCCACAATTATTAAATATGCAACGATTATTACATTTTGACCTTTTTAAGTTTTACATTTATTTTACAGAATAAGAATTACTTTATAAAGTAATTATATATTTTTTTTTTAGATATTATGTTTAAAAATTGAAATAGCTCTCTTAACATGACGTGTCACTGCTACAATAATGTAAAGTTTAACTGGGGTCAATATTAAAACCTGATTCTGATTTTGTAGTTACAGCTGTTAGTCTGCAAACAAAATATGCGAAAGACGAGTCATAAAATCAGATTTGCAGTTGTAAAACGAGCTGTACTTACCCATTCGCCGTTAACGTATTTCCAGCGGTGAGTGTCAACCTGAACAAACTCAAGAAGAACGGTGTACATGGCCGTCGGGTCCAGCCCACTGGCAGTAACTTTTACTACAGGAAACATACGTCTAAAACAAAAGATAATACTAATTTAAGTCGTAAAGTAACATAATTTTTACTATAAGTCTATCCTTTACGGCGGTATTTGTATTCAACTAAATTAATTTTACCTACAGCAGACTAAAACAGGATCTCTATAGGTATGTATATAAGTACCTTGTTTGTTTTATGTTTTTTTGATTAATAGTTTTTTTTTATTTTAGGAAAAATATAATATTTCAATATATTCATTACAAAATGTTTGTGCCTACATACATAGTAGGTGATGATCAACATTTGCGAGTGCTAACAGGGTGCTGAGGGGCGGCCAGTTTTCAGCTATTAACACTATAGGTCTTGCTCATTAACGTAGGGCGTCTAAACGATACCGCCCGAGCCATGCTCTACCCTTGACGCAGTGTCTATCTCGTTTATAACTAGATCTTAATGTTATATGTACGTCTGTGTATAAGTAACATAACTAACTTCAAATAGTATATGAAATTTGTTTACTTATTAAAATTATCGTTAAAATTTTAAATTACCTAATATTTTACAATAATTCAAGAAGTATAAGTTATATAACAGATCACATAATACTATACTTCAAAGTTATCCTCCTATATACTTTGGATTAAATAAGTTATAATAATATCTAACTCTTAAAATAATTAATTAATTACAGACAATATGATTGAAATACGACTCGTACTTATTATGTTATGTGACTACATATTTTTTCGCTATATATTTTTTAGACAGAGATTCGGTCGGCATAGGAGCTGATTCAGTAGATTAACATCATTAGTGATAAATGATATAACACAAATAGGTACCATAAAAATTTACCAGATGGAGCTATATGACATTGTCAGCATGAGCCCAGAATAGAAATCAGAAAGCATAGAAAAAGGCTCTAATAATAAGTTATAAAAAAGATTTTTTTGTGAAAAATTGCGTTTTTTTTTCAAAAAAAGACGTATTTATATAGAAAAACTTAAAGACAAAACTTGATCCAAATCGTGAGAGCCGTTTCCGAGATACATGAAATTTTATATACATATACAAGACAAGACGACATAGCTTTCATGCTTTTTGACAGAGATTTTTTGTCATCATTTATAGATAAGTATCTAAACGGTAGAGGTATTTGAAATTAAAAAAATACTATTACACTTTAATATGCATTTTTAAATAATAATAACAATTAATCGTATAAAATTAAGAAAGTTGAGAGTCCCTTATCACATAACTAAAAGAATACGTTAGCCAGTTTCTGTCGCCTATTTTGATAAACAACTTTAGAAACCATCTTTCTTCTATTTTTTTTCAATCCGGCTATATCAAAAATGTGATTGAGTGATGAGTTTAAGGAGAAATTTGTATGTTTACTACTCAAGTTGTTCTTTATAATATGAAATATCACAAAAGATGCTCATGATTTTCCGATACTGTACATACATACACGTCGATTATTACCGGAAAAAACAAGAATAAATCAAAAAGAATAAAATTATTATTTAGTAGTGACTCTAATAGAGATAATAATATATACTCGTAGTTAACATTTTCTAACTGACATTAGGCTTGTTCAAATCAATTCAATTCTCTTGCTAATGGCTTCAAAACGTGTCAGTTGAGCACAGGTTACTATGCCAATGTCACGTAGAATGGAGAAGACACGAAGGAGATTGGTCGGTATTAAATGAGATTACTAAACTGTTTATATTAATTAAAAAGTGTAAAAAAGGTTAGCAACTCCTCTATGAGCCTTGGATCTACAACAAAAGACAACGCTAGTCTTGTTATATGAGATTCTTAAAAAACATATTGATTTGTATTCTATATTTATTTCTGTTAAGAGTTACCTCCCACAACTGAAATAGATAAATGTCTCTGAAATACCAAAACCTTAAATACTAAAATGAAAATTAAAAAAAAAAGATTATGTCGGTTGCAAATAGGACGTCATCTATACTATAATAAAACTGTAGAGGTCGAATTTCTGTACATAGCAAAAAAATGCTAAAAACCGAGTCAAGGGGATGTAAGAAGACATATAGAACAAATCCAGTTTTTTTTTAATTTTTTGTTTCTCTGTCTGTTTGTCTGTTTGTACGGGCTAATCTCCGACACTATTGGACCGATTTAAATTAAATTTTGTATGGTGGTACCTTATACCCTCGGGCAACATCTTAGATACTTTTTATCCCGGAAAATTAAATAGTTCCCGTGGGATAGTTTAAACACTATAGTATCTTATACAGCTTAGTACACAACAACTTATGCACCTAATTTAATAAAATTTAACATTCTGATACCTTATATTGCCGGTCAAACAACAGGTTACTTTTCATCCCGGAAAAATGAACGGTTCCCGTAGGAACTAATAGATCTCTATTAGTGTTTTTCAAGAGGCAAACCCGAGCGAAGCGAGGGTGAGCTGCTAGTACGTTAATATTTATATGTTTTTTTTTTTTAATATTACCTGGTTTGTAACCATCGTCAAAATACACAATACCTTAAGTATAACCACAGTCAGAGAAGAAATTAGACTGAAAGCGGTTAAATATAAGGATCAGTTCAAGGATCGCCCAAATGAACTTGCAGCAAAACTTCTCAGAATAAGGTATGGCAAACGTCTAAAGTGGCATGACATACAAATTCTAAACGCTTTACTGTATTATGGGGATATCCTTGCTAAAGGATCATCTGGATCACGATAATTTTTAACCGACTTCCCAAAAAAAGGAGGAAGTTCTCAATTCCCCGAAATCTTTTTTTTATGTACGTTCACCGATTATAATTGAAGACGCCTGAACCAATTTGGAAATATATTTTTTTTGTTTCAAAGGGTGGTCCCAGGTGGTCCCATATAAATTGTATCGAAATCGGTCGAGCGGTTTTTTTAAAAATCAACAATAAATATATTTTTTAAATAAGTTGTTACAAATTACCTGCTTATTACGTCTATACCAAAAATGGAAAAATAAAAACTAAAAAGAAACGACTTCTAGGCACTAAAGTGTAAAAAATAACTAAACGGAGTTTTTCATTTAGAATAGATACCTAATCAGATATTCTCGAAGTCGGTGCCAGCCGATGCAAAGCAAACCTAATATATTTCGATACGTAAAATACATATTTACCTATTAGATATTTCATATTCATATTTTAAAATATTGTCGGCACCGATTTCGAAAATATCTGATTACGTATCTATTCTAAATAAAAACCTCCGTTTAGTTATTTTATACATTTTAGTGCCTGGAAGTCGTTTTTTTTTTTAGTTTATATATTTTTAACCCTCCAATTTTTTTCATTACTCCATTTTTCAATATGATGTGTTCACGGATTTATAAGCGATAGTGCAAAAACAATATTTAATTATATATTAGTATTGGCGTGCCAGTTCCGTCTGTTTTTATATTGATCTTATAATTTAATTGCATTAAATTAGCAAAACAGTCACAAACTAAGGCCTGATTTCGATATGAATAAGAATTTATTTAATTTTTATGTCATTATGTCTCAATATTACATTTAGGAAAAACAAACGTTACCAACCTACCAAGTAAATACGCTAAATGACAAAAAAAATTACAAAAATAATGCTAATAGACAAAGTACACAAATTCGATTTACATACATACTTGTTTATAATATCCAACTAAAACAATAAAATATAAAGTTATCTGCAAACTTTTAATAGTCTACACTGCCAATTAATTATTATATATGTGTGTTTTCGTGGCCTCTTCCTTACTCCTTTGACCCTGTATCGAGCAGGTATTCTTGTTAAGGCCATAGGTATCTTATATCATTCTAAACCAAATTCTTCACCCGCCTTCTAAGTTCCATTAAAACGGTTCCAGTGTTTGAGGAAGTTTGTATGTTAATGAATATAAGCAAATAAACATTTTATACACTATTTGGAATTTATCAATTAACCATATGATCTTACTAAAGCGTAGCCATTTTAAAATGCAATCGAATAGATGAATTTTTGTTGCATTTATAAATATAGACCAACTTAGCAGCTAGTTTAACAATATTTCCCATATAGTTATTTATATATAGTTATATATAGTTATTTTGTATTTATGTGAATAATGCAATTACGACAATGCAAAGTATATTGTATTTGTGTAATAATTGTAGTTTCATTATGATAAGTCGATGGTGTATCTATCCAATAAAATCTGTCCATATTATTGATATTAATATTATAAATGTTAAAGGTTTGTGAGTATGTATGGATGTTTGTTACTCTTTCACGCCAGAATGGCTGAACGGATCTGGATAAAATTTGGCACAGAGATAGATTATGGTCTAGAACAAGACATAGGCTACTTTTTATCTCGGAAAAATGTCGGTTCCCGTGGGATAGGTATGTTTTTGTTTTTCTAGAGTTGAACCCGAGCAAAGCGAGGGTGAGCCGCTAGTAATAAAATAATAATCCAATGCAGAGTACTAATTGAAAATAAGTTAAAATTCTTATTGGCATCCTTATTTATTATAAATGAATAAGCTACATGGATTAGGTACGTACAATTTTGTAACTTGTTGTCACTCGTTAAGTAACCTATAGGTACTGATACACTACTATTCATTGAATATGTACGATGTCTATTAAACTATAAACTTACCTTAACATTTGACCAATCGTAAGAATAACACTTCAAATTTATTCAAAATTCAATGGTTTTTGAGAAGAAGTAACAAACTAAGTGTACGTTACGTTAACAAACTAAGTATCACACACGCACATACATTAAATCACACACATCTATACTTTTTACACATAATACTAGTACGATTGTAATAAACACTATATAAACATGTAATTCACTAAGAAAAAAGTACAATTTTACAATTTTTGTCATAACATTAATATTCATTATTAACACATTAAGATTTAAGCCATCGTAGAAAATCAAACGAGTAGGTAAACGTTATTAAACGTTCAAAGCGTATCTTAGGTAAATATGCTTTATACGTTTTAAAAAAAATATTTTATATAGTTAAGATTGATTTTTATATTTTTTATTTATAATTTCGTTTTCGTTTATTTTTTAAATCCCCACAATTTTTTTTCACTTAATAAATCTTTACGTTTAACGAGTATTACCTACCACCCATCTTCTAAAAATACTAGAAAGGTAATGAAATAATATAAAAATATTGTTTTATTAATGTATTTAGCATATATCTTAGATATAACAAAAAAATAAATAAAAACAAATACACTTGGTCACCAGAAGACCTTTACCTTTTAATTCATCGTAAAAACGCAGCAAGTTAATTAGTCTCTACACATTTAGAACATCTTAATGCTTCACTTAAATATACAGTAATCATACTCAGGCTATAAACTACATATATTGTAAGGCATATTGTTCGATTTTATTTCTTACTCATTTGCTTCAATGTTGTTGCTGCATTTTAATGTTGGTTGTTCTTAGTACAAAATAGCAAATGACTCATATAATTCTGGTGTATTGAGTTATTTATAGTATTATGAGAACTGATTAATGTTTATTTAGAATAATAAATATAGGTACGAGATTGCTATTGTAGGTAACTAACATGAAATACAATAAGTGTACATTTGTGTTGTATTTATATAATTAAGTATATTTGAAATTTTGTAAGAAATAGATTATATATACACTAGCGGACCCGACAGACGTTGTCCTGTCTACACGTCTTTAATTTGAAAATTTCAAACTTTTTTTTAATAATTTTTTTGATGAAAATTATTATTCAAATTGTGAATCTAAACCATTCCCAGATCCCCTTGAACACACACAAAAAATTTCATCAAAATCGGTCCAGTCGTTTGAGAGAAGTTCAGTGACATACACACTCACAGAAGAATTATATATATAAAGATAAGTACAACATGAAGTATAAATTAATAACATTAGCTTAAATATTTTAAATATTTAATAATGGATAATTTTAGAGCTCAAATAAATGATAAATACATTTCATTACTTACCGTCCATTTTTGGTGACTATCATTTCGTTCGTAAGAGTCTGGAAGCGGACCCAAAGCTCTCTATCGTCAAGCGCTACGTTGACCTCTCTCTCACGGCCGCCGCGCGCGCCGCCGCCGCCCACCGTGGGCTCTACTGCACTTAAGATATGCGATGCTGCCATTGTATCTGCAAGAATGTTTTCGATTATTTTAACTTATACTTAAGCGCACTAAGGATAGTATTTTAATACTATTCCAAACAAACACATATTTTAAAGTATTCTTACGCATATGAAATACTAGCATTTTCCCGCGGCTATGTTCGTGTGGTTTAATTTTATAATATTTCGAACCCTTTTTTACCCGTTTATCAGTTAAAAGTTCCTATAATTCTACCTTAGCAGATACCCTATGAAACATCTATCTGCCGAATTTTAAATCAAAGAATACGTAATTAAATCTAATAAGTACAATAATACTTTTATATTCAAATCTACAACAAGTACAAAGTCATGATGAAAGGCAAGTTACTTAATGAAATATACACGAATTATATCTTTACCGATTTTTCATCGTGATTTAACACACTTATACAACCCAAAGCTTTAGTCAGCGTTTACTTATTTCCATTTCCAATTAACATAAAAGACGACACTATAATTTACTTCCGTGATGCCAAACTTTCTATGGTAGTGTTTTAATTCTACGCCATATTTCTGCGTATGAATTATTAGCAAGAAAATTAATATGCCGGTTTCAAATATTTCTAATAAAATGCCAGTTTCGTTATTTATTTATTAAATGTCATTGGAATGAAATAATTAATTTTTAAATGTTACTAACTAACCTAACACAACAATTCTTTATCGACGAAATGTTTTTATTTAAGCACTTCAATAACATAAATATTATATAATAACATTTATATTTCCTTGTTCATAAATTTTGTAAAAATTACTCAAAGTATCAATCGACATACTAAAACATTCATAAATATATACAATATACATATAGCCAATATAAGCTGAATATTGTATCGAAAGTTTAGCTCACGAACTTCCACCGAATGTTTATTGTACTTATTATCGTGGACCGATACAGTTCAACGTACCAGAAATCAAATTAAACTAAAATTTTGTCAATTTTTGTGAACCCATTCAAAAAAGAACTGATGTCCCAATTTAGTTATAAGTTTACGTGAACTATTATACTTCATAATGAAAATCAAGTTTAGTTCTGGCATTAGCGTCTGGTTGTCAGTTTAGTTTATGTTACCGTTAAGACAAAATAATTAATGATTTCCCGATACTTATAACACTGTTCAATCAATGGGATGTTATTATACTTTAATAATTATAAATTCTATACATTCATTATATAAAATAAACAAGCGTTTTAAAATTTTATATATTTTTCTTATTAATTATTATGACTAAGTTCTAAGCAACTATACCTAAATGAAATAGGTATAGATACTGAAGGTGATGTAAAAATTATGTACAATGTAAATTACTGTTTTACTATAAGGAAATGAAATATATATTTTGGCCTTTTTCTATAATTAGATTGTTCTTATCGTTCAATATTTGCTTTAAGGTTGATTGATCTTTTTATAAATCTGTGCCTTTAATCCAAATAAGATGGATATAAAATATTAATCAAATAGCCACACCTATATATTTTTCAAATTTAAAGGCCCATCAAATGTTTTTAAGATCAATATGTATTAAAATTGGAGAATTTTGGTTTCAGTAAGAAAAATAAAGGTAGATAAATCAAACTAGAAAAACAAATCAAAAAAAATATTAATTGCTTACTATTTAACCTTTATATTTCTAAGACCTGCTAAATGCTATTAAAATATCAATACCTCAAAAAATTGTAGCTATTAAATTATACAAAATATTGTATAATTCTGTTTGTGTACAGCATGTATTAATTAATTGTAATAAACCTCTACTAGATTTCAAAAAAGTTCGATTTGATTTAGTTTTTCATTTATACAACGATACAATGCATTCATATTTTGCGGAGACAAACGAGCAGACGTCACCTGTTGGCTGTTAATAAATTTGTCCATTGAAATATGCAACAGCTCTGTGTGCTGCTAACCTTTTAGAGACCTATAATCTCGTCTTTAAAAGTCGCAATATTGAAGAACTAGGAAAGACTTTAAAAGAAAAACTATTATATGATGATATCCAAAATGACGGCGAAAGTTGCGACAGTAAAATGTGAAAACTTAAAGATTCTAAATAATAGATTTTCTATAAGTTAAGTAAGAATAATAATCTTGCGATATTCTTTTTTTTTTAATATTGAGCGATTTCCGTTCGATTAAACATCAGGAAAACTAAAATAGTTAACAAGATCACTCGATTAAAATACCCACTTAATCAGAAAACAGATACGAGTACACAGATGATCCAATATTTCCATTACAAAAATAAAAAAAGCCGACTGTGTAAAAAGCGAACTAAAATTATAAAAACAAGTTGAAGAAGAAACAAAATAATGTAGTATTATGCAGTCGGAGACATACAATACACGCAGCAAGACTCGCAGCTAGTATTAAACACGAACATATGTATGTCTCCGACTGCATAATATTATGTTTCTTCATGAACTTGTTCTTCTTTTTGGTTCGCTTTTTAGCCTGTCTTGTACTTTTTAGGTGGCTGGGTTTTTTATTTTGTAAAATATTTTTTTATTTATAGCTTTGTAGTTTTGGTCAGTTAGACATTTTTAGTTTTATTTAATAATTTCTTATCCTAAACTATTAAACATATATTTATATAATTTATATATATATTTGTAATAACCTCTTAAAAACCTGTATTTCGATATTCAACTCAATTGATTCGCACGAAAAAAAAAAATTCAATACACACCAATCCAGCCTTAGATCCACCATTTTGTTTTTTTAATATATCTATATAGAGTATACCCTATGACACTTGCGTTATCAAGACAAATCGAACAACGTATGAATCGTGAAAATCTGTTAAGGCGTTTAGTAATTACGAGGGAACATAGGGTCTGACATACGAACATACATGATGATGATGTTCTCCCGACCGATTCCGGCCACGGCGGCCAATCTCATTGAGACTAGCCAACTGCGCAGGAGATATTATAGTGCTCAAGTGTACGCGCAGACACAAGTGCACTCTCTATTCCTGTCACTCTCATATACCGGTGGGACGACTGCTCGACACGACCAGTGAGAGTTTAGGCGCAGGACCGACGGCTTTACGTGCTCTCCGAGGCACGGGGGTGAAACACCGCCAACTTCCCAACTCTGGGCTGTTACTGAGGCTTACTTGTACAGAAAGACTCAATAACTAAACTTGGCCCGACCCGGGACGCGAACCCAGGACCTCCGGGTGTGCATGCTAGCCACTACACCACGGAGGCAGTTGTACATACATAAATTATGTACAAACATACATACATACATATACATACAACAAAGTCTTTAGCATTAGTTCAGTATTATAATATATAGAGTGATATCTATAGACATACACAAGAATAACATCCTTTCCTTTTGTAGACAGTAAGAAAAGGATTTGGGACATAATAAGTATACATTTCATTAGAAGATAATTCATATTTATGCGGTGCGTATTCAAGTAAATCGTTTTTCTAGTAATAGCACAACCTTTTAAATAACAGTTTACGTTGTAATGAATTAGATGGCGCTGGCTTTGACCGCAAATATAAATATTTCACACTTAGAAATTTATAAATATTGAAAATATCATGTAATTTAAGATAATTAAATATGCAAATTATAAAGCTAAAAGTGAATATAAGTTAGTTTTTATTAAATACCTGGGCCACCGAGATTCGCTCGGAGTTTTTGGTCTTAAGTACAATTTTCTTTAAAAAAAACAAAAATCTTGAATAAATACAAAAAAAAAAATATCCCTTTGTATCCGACCGGGATTCGAACCCGGACACCGATGATTGACAATTTTGCGTGGAATAATGCGAAAGAAAACCGCATGAAAAAATCGAAAACACGCGTTTTTCCAGACATAAGAGTAATCTAGATAGATTTATCGCCTCCGAAACCCCCTGTATACTAAATTTCATGAAAATGGTTGGAGCCGTTTCGATGATTCAGAATATATATATATATATATATATATATATATATATATATATATATATATATATATATACAAGAATTGTTCGTTTAAAGATATAAAAGATAATATACTCTAGTTAATTATTGTAATACACTAATATTCCAAAGAGTAACATATACCTACCTATCATTTTCCGCCCATAAACTCATTCTATGCTAAAAATCACGATGATACGTTAGTCTGTAGCTTCGTGAAAAAATGTAAACAAACACACTTTCGCGTCTATTAATAAGGACAAGTATATGTGAATAATTATTTTTCACTACAAAAAGCTTCACCGATCTTAATATCCCTTAAAAAAAATATTTCGCCCTTAAATGTGGTTTCTTTTCTTGAAAATATATTATGCAAAACCATATTCCGGTACAATCAATTCCTAAAAATTAAGATCTATTCAATTAAAGTGTTTTATAATTTAATTATCTTTTATATTGTCTAGCAGTATTTATTTATTTAATCTACATACCCAATAATCTTCCAGTAAAAGGGTTGTGACACACAGTAGTGACAGATAGACAGACGGACATGGCGAAATTGTAAGAGTTCCGTTTTAAATATTTGGCCACGGAACCCTGAAAAGGATTTTTACCTGTTACTTATGAAATGAAAAGGGATAATTTGTATGGGAACAGTATTTTGCGGAAAATCAGAAAAAAAATCAAACAAAAACAAGCAATAAAAAACCCACAATTGATATATAATTATTTTTCTAGAGTAACAACCATCAAATTTCTATTTATCACGATTAAATCGATCTGATGATTCTGATGACAAATATAGTCGTGTTTTTTTCAAAAGATTGAAAATAATAGTTATTTACGTAGAGGCTATTTCATGTTTTCTGTAGTTTGGTATATTTATTTCAATTTTAACAATTTCAAATATTGGGTAAAGGCCTTCGAAAAATAGCATTCACAAATTCTTTTAGTATTCTTTTATATGTATTTCATTTTAATACTCTTTAATCATGAACTTCGTCTTTATTTAAATATGAAAATATTAGAAAGGTTTTGAAAGTTATAAAT